GACTGTGTACGACCCGAGTCCACGTCGCGAGCTCAGTTTTTATTTACGAAATACGAAATATATTTATACTAATGGCCCCGGCATCGTTTACTTATAATGTACCACCATTGAACAATCAATACGTCACTTCCTGAGTCCTATTCGTGAGGTCGTATCTGTGAGGTCCTATTCGTGAGGTATATAGCGTGCGCATACATCAATTGGTTAATTACGGCAACAAGAGCAAATAACGTTAGGCGTCTCGTCCTCTGTAATTACCAAAAGAGGATTGTGCCTATTGTAAAAGACAGTTCAGGTGACATTTCCTCAAAAGATAATTATAGGCCGATAGCTATTGCCACTACTTTGTCAAAGTTATTTGAATTGATTTGTTTGAAAAGATTTAAAGGTCTATATTACCGCAACTGACTTTCAGTTTGACTAACATGTCACTGACATGTACTAGTATTTAATTATATTATAAACCACATGAAACTCCCGTATATACGCGTATCGTGAGCATCTGAGGCATTTGTCCGCGTAAATGTTGGTCCTTTATTAAAAAGTTAACTGATCGTCGTGTTTCTTTGTACATGGCTAGACTCTTAATGTATCCTAGGGGGCGGACATCCGGGCATTTTCACCGCCTGGCAACCTGCGGTGGTTAAAACAAAGGCCCAAAACTCGCATAAAACGGTACTTTGGGATGATTGTTGAGACTCCTCTGAACAGTGTAACAAGATTAGCCCTACGTGTGTAACATATATAAATTTGGCTGTTCGGGATTACTTCAAAGTTGAGTTTGTGTTGTTTTCTCGAATTTTCACCAGCTCGACCGGCGTCCCGCAGCAGCGCGCACAGAGCCCATAGAAATGCATGGTACAGTGGTGCGCGTCTTAGCAACGTAGAACGTCTGTGACGTAGTTCCGCCCCCGAGGATTGGTGCAAAAACAGTTACCAGCAGTCGGATGATAGTTCTTTCAGGATTCTTAAGTAAATTAGTCTACAGTTTCTTCTTAAATACAGGTAACAATTCACACTTATTCTCAGTATTAATCACAAGGAGCCCAGGAACTATGATCAACTGTACGCAGTTCCACAGTGGCAGTTCCTATGAGCGGGGGGGGGGGGGGGTATCGGCTGGTATCTAGTGTAAGAAATAGACAAGGGATGAAGGCTCCAGCCAGCTCACATTTTTTAAACCCGAAAAAACAGTCAAA